ATTTAAACACATGGTGAATAGAATACAGATTTTAACTCCAAGAAACATTAGTAACTCAAACTCATCTCCCCTATTTAGAGCTATATATACACACACACACACACACACATATATGTATATAAACACACCCACAAAAACAGATATAACAATGCAAAAAAGAGAAAAAAAATTGTGTTTGTCACAACCATTGCTTCTACCAGATGACCAGAAAGCATTTGTTTCATTGCTAAGAAATACCATAGAAAAATATGATTTCAACACCAGGATATATATATGACAAATCCACGATTTTCACTACTAGAATATACCACAGAAGGTTCATTTTTCTTCACTCGGAGGTACCATGGAAAATAATAATTTCACCACCATGAAGTGACAAGAAAAATTACTTTTTTCACAAGTAGGATTTATCAGTAGTAGGTACGACTGAAAATCATGGTTTCATCACTAAAAGGTGTCAAAGATAGAAACTCTATATATGTAAATAAACCACCTGTAAAACAAGACTTTCAGGAACTTCTAAGCACAAAACTTGGTATACCTATGGAATTTAAAAGAAAGAAATTATTCATAGTGAATATTTCCAGTTCAGGCAAACAGAGGGAATTAGATATCAATAATCAATAAGTTAAAAACTTTTGTATTTTGGTGACCCTGGATATCACCTCTTTTATTTTTTATGTGACTGACCTAATGAAAATCTGTATTACAAATTATGACTTTGTGTATAAAAGACCACTTGTTATTGCTACCAGTTAAAAATAATAATGCAAGTATGAAATGTAGATATTAATCATTTATCTATAATAATAAAAGGGCATATGTGTGTGTGTGTGTTTGTGTGACCACCATAGTTCCAAGAGGAAATAACCTAGAAGTCTGAAATGTTATGCACTTGCTAAATTGTATCAACCTAATAACCGGTGCAAAGCTGGGCACTTTTGTTAGTTAATAATAAATTTCAGATCAAGTCAAAATATTCATTTTCAGTTGAAGTTGCCATATGTCAACACTCCGATTTGATATATTTAGCTTCAGGACAATAGAGCAAAAAACATGAACAAACACTCACTTAAGTCCTGCTCCGACTCTCCTTTTGCTAGTTCTTCTTTATTTGATTCTTCAACACTTTCTGCTTCAGAAACTACCAATTCTTCCAAATCACCTTTTATTTTGAAGAAAAAATTTGAAAAATGCTTATTTCCTAACTATCAGTTGTTTATACTTACAAAAAACCTCCTTTAACATAATCATATTTAAGACAATGTTGAAATGTTAATTGCATGAATAATAATATGCAAATAAATAGGTCAATAAAAAATAACTTTGAACATTATATATGTCTTAAGTCAAAATAATATACAGAAAAAATCAATCATATAAAGAATTTAATGGATGCAGATATTGCTCACTCAAATTTTGTAAAACTCTATCATCATCTTCACCAGACTTCTCAAAACTTCCTATATCAGACTCTTTGTTTTCTTTCTTTTCCAGCTCTATTCTTTGCTGCTGTGCCCACTTCCTAAGACTAGCTAACTTCTGGTGCTGTTTTTCTAACCACAGCTTTCTCTTCTCTTCAGCTTTACGTTTAGATTCTGTAAAGAAAAGCCTACCAGACTCTGATAAAAGTTTTTTTGTTTTTTTTATGGCAATTTGCTTATTATTTTGGTTGACCAACCTCATAACCATTTTGTACATGTGTATTTTACAGTGTAACATTAAATTGTGATATTGAAAATCACGTATGGATGATCTATGTATAGCTGTATCATCACTATATTCTTTTTTGCATTCTTTCTGGTATTGCCATCCCTACATCAATTTACATTGACAAAATGTTTATTATTACTCGTATACATACGGTACCAATGACTAACTAAGCATACATATTAAACAGTTGGTATGTTTGTTGAATTTTGTGCAATGCTACTCAATGGTTATCTATGATAGGTGTCCCTAATTTTGAAAAGATAGACTAAGGGAAAGATGCCACTGAATACCACCCACTGGGATACTCTTTACCAACACATATTGGAATTGACCATCACATTATAAAGCCCTCATAGCTAAAAGAGAGAGAATGTTGTCAACAGGCTTCAATCTTATGAATCACAGGTTTTCAGTTGAGCACCTAACCACCAACCCAGGAAAGACCGTATAACCTTTCTAAAGTTATAATCTGGGCTTTAAGATAAGAAATACACAACTGCAAGTCACCAGGAGAAATATGCAACATTTTCTTATGTCAAAACCTTAATGAGTATTTTCAGCCTTTTCATTTTAAACTGTAACAAAAATGCTTAATAATACTTGCTTTGTAAAACAATAAAGTACAGAAAATGATCATATACAACCAAGAAATCAAAATACTCATATATATTTACATATATGTATAGCCTAATACCATCCTTTACTCCAGTATGCATGAATAGATGAACTGGCTACAGCCATCACGTTTCTAATGCTGTATTATAAAATTAACTTAACCAACAGATTAGCTATTAAGACCACCATAATTACAAGAAGTTTTGAAAATCACATGCAAAACATAAGACAAATTCAACTAATAGACATAGAGATTAGACACAGTTGTTATTCTTTGAAATAAAAAATACTTTTATCTAACAATTGACAAATGAAACAAGTGGACAACAGTTGGAAAAATCTTTAGTTCTGTGTACAGTCAGCTTCTCTATATTTATGCCAACATAAGGCAATTTGGACAAGTACAACAAAAAAATTCCATAAAGACACCAGGTTGATTCTGACCAAGATTTGCATTTGCCTTGAATTATATCAAATCCCACACTTAATCAGAACATCCCAAACTGCCAAATCACACACATATACATACTATTAGGTCAGTTACAATGAAAGAAAATACAGAATGAGTTTGTTAATATTATCCTTCCACGTTACTCTTATTAGTCACATTAACAATAAGAATAGCAAAAGCGAAAACCGGACACATCTTTTTTACATACATCATTAAAAAAAATTAGATAAAACTCTTAATAAATTCAGATATGAGAACAGAAATAAAACTTCTTGCTGTTCCCAGGGCTAGCCCATAAAGGCTGTGGTTCCGAGGGCTGTTTAGTCCCTCAAAAGCCAGAGTTTTACATGCTATTTGGTACATTTTCTGCCCTTTTGAGACAATTCATGACAACAGATTACTATTGGTCAATTTTTGCCACTTTAGTTCATGTTCAAATGATAAAAATAACTGACCAGTTAAACTAGTTCTTTCATGAAATTTTTCATTTGTTAAAAAATTCCTTAACTCTTGAAAACAATTTCTAGAATTTTGTTGTAAATCTGTTTCTCCCAACTTTCATCTTATCATGTCTATCTGTCCACGTTAGGTTCCATCTAAATAATTTCACACACAAAAATAATTTCCAATAAAATAATGTCTATTTTATGTAATTCTTAAAAAAAGAGTGACAAGCACACACCATTAAGTCAGATGGCAAAAGATGTAAAGCCTACATCTATGCTGATCATTTTAAATTGTTTGCCATTATACTTTAAGGAATTTTTGAATTTCTGAAGACTGTGGATACATTCAGCTTCAAAACATTTTGCTATTTGTCAGCTGTTCATCAATAAGCCAGTTAAACAGCTGGTTTTTAATCCACAATATGTAAAGACTTTGGTTTAGTGTAAATACCTAAACAGACAAGGCAATTTTCAATCAATCCTATTTGCACCAGTATTTTGTCTTCAGCCCCACCATTCTAATATTTGTCTTACCAGATTCAAACAAATTGGGTGAATGGCAAATTTGATAATAGAAATGGGAGAAATCCACCAAATAGCAGTCAATTCTTATCCCCGCAATATGCACACACCCAAAGTTAATTTTTCCTTATTGTTACTTCAAACAATCTACAGTGATTATTTAAATCCCCAGCAAATTGGTCATTTGATTGATTATTTTATCTAAATTAATCTTAGATTGTTTTTGTTGTTTTTACCTTTTAAGGAAACAAACAATTTCATTCATAATAAATTGAACTGATAAAAACTAAAAATGTAGAAACACACAAAAAATAAGACAAATCAAACAAATCAGCAGTATTCTTAAAACCGTAAGTACAAAAAAATCCATAAAAAATCTTACCAAAATACACATTATAAAATTAAAATTTGTAAGTTATAGGAATCAGAAAGAAGAATAAATGCAGTCATAATAAAATAAAATAAAACTGAAAGTATATTAAATGACATAAATAACTTTTTCTCATATATTTAATAAAATGACACTGACAGATATAACAGCTTTTATAATGACACAACTGTGATCCTTTATCTTAAGAAACAGACTAGAAATATCACCAAAATTCCTGGGTTTTTTTGTGAACATTATTTTCACTGAAGATGTCAATACTAGAACCAAATAATGATATGGGGCATAGTAATTATAATAAATACATTTGTACAGGTTAAAAGAGTAAAATCAGGAAATAGACTCACACTGGTGGGTAGAAAGAACTTAATAACAAAAAAGCTGACGTGCTACTTCATCCAGGACAAGGGAATAAAACGAAAACAAATTGCTAAAAGAAAAAACATACAGAATGCTTATACAAGTTAACAGGAACAGTGATGAAATTACCAAAATAAACACACACACACCCAAACATTCTAAATATCAGGGAGATGTGGACTATTTTTCTCATAATATTCTCAAAAGTAATTCTTATGAGCAGATAAAGAATACACAATAGCAATTATGTGTCCTGCAAAAAAAATAACCAAATCTGTTTACAACTAAAACATCCCTTTTGCTTAAAATAGTACTACACTGACCAAGGACATCAATAGCACTTAAGAGTACCTTCCGAGAGCCAGATGCTGAACTGGATTCAATAAATGCTCAAATTCCTTCAGTTAAAAAAAAAATGGAAAAACACCCACCCTCCTGAAAAAAGAAATGGAAATTCCACTATATAAAGATCATTTCTCTAAAGTTTGATGCCATTTTACTGAAACAGCTATTTACTTACTTATAACAGTCATATCTGGTGGTTCAACTAAAGGGGTTAATCTTCATCATTAGACACAACTAGGATCCAGGCAACGTAAAAAGTCTGATCAATAATACTGCAGATTTGCACAAAATGGAGAGTACTCATGTCAACAATCAAAGCATGATTTCTAAGTTTTTCCTTAAGTATAAAAGGATATTAAGGAAAATAGCTACTAAACTATACTGAAACTTTTGATTTACAAATAGTTAAATTAACACTGTTCGGGAGATATTGTAAGAAACTTTAAGAACATAAATTACATAATATGATCACTTTTCAATGCAAAAATACATAATTTTTTGAGGAAAGGTAGTTTGGTTAAAATGAATATATTTTTTTAAATATACATAGTAGCATTATTGATAACTTTTCTACAAAGACTGAATCAAATTCAGCAACTGGAAGAAGATAAAACAGAGCATGACAAATACTAAGACATCATAATTATTACTGGAAACAATTAAACATCCTTCAATGAATTGGTGCATAAATGTCTAAGTTAATATGATTTGGGTTTCAAGTTTTTTCTATTCAGCAAAGTTTTATAGACTTATCATTTCCAAGATATTCAACATAAATCTGTTGTACAAAACTTCTTTAATTACATATACTATTAGTAGAGTCACCATTTTATAACTTCAAATGTACCTTCCAATTTGACCAAGTACTGTTGATATTGATCTTCAGTAAGCAAAGGGTTACAAGCAATCATGTGTGGTTTCTTTGTTGGAGGGACATGAAGCTTTGGATGTTTGCACACTTTAGCTGTGTGAACTGCCAGTATGTAGCTACAGGTTTCTGGTTCATCCACTCTTGAAATATAATCTACTGCATCTTCTTCACAGAAAAACTAAAACACAGACACACAAAAAAATATATAAGGAAAATTGAAGGATTTAATATCACCATTATTATATTTAAATTTTATAACAAGAACTACAAGGTCTTTTAGGATATTTTAACAAAACCAATTTTAGGAGTCAATTTTCACAAAATTATCTAAACCACTGTTAATGTGATATGCAAGCATACAATGCATGTTGTACCTTCTTAGCTTAATGTAGGAATTTACAATTTTTCATGGATTCTGATTCTAAATAAATGCTTGGTCCATGAGTCTGTTATTTTCATTCTAGTTACTTTTGTTTCTTTGTTGTTCCCTAGTAGATAATACCCACTTCACCCAAGGAGACACTGCTACAACTTCACGCTGTTCAGAGAAGGTCAACAAAAGCAATGTCCTTCATTGGCTGACAGATGGTATGTGTACATTACAGCCTTAACTATGTTGTGGGAGAACGACCAGTATCATTATTCATTAGGGGTAAATTCAGCACTTCCTGTAAAGTAGGCAGCATTGAATTCACACAGTTCTACTTGGTTTTTTAATGTGAGTTGGTCAATGGAAGAATAATTGTTGAATGATTCACAGATCCAATAGGAAGTGACAGTCCAACATCTACACAAGTATGTACATTATGTTTTGTGCTTTAGATAATAATAGATTGTTTTAAACTTTACAAAACATGTCCAGTCTATTTAGTTTCTTGTATGTATAAATATTAATCATCATTGCAATGCTTCATTCCTAAACATAATGTTTTACAGGAAGTTTCTAATAGACAATTTTGATGTCAAGACCAACAGATAATAGTGATTTGATCATTGACTGAAACTGGTAAAACCTCAAGTGTAAAGTACAAAGATCATCATGTGTGATCAGAATTGCACAGAATCGAGATGCACTGTGATATGAGACAAAATGAAAAATTAGACAAAATATTCTAACAGTTCTACAATGGGCACCAGAACAAAGTATTTGAGAAAACAGTCTGACTGATAAAAGTGCAGTAATCTCAAGACATGATGGTATAGCAGCTATTTATTACTTTGAAAACACTTTCCAAGTACAATAGTGAAGGTACCACATAACAGATATTTGAGTAATAGCATCCAAAGGATGGCACCATTCTCTTCTAAATTGATAAACTAACCATGGATGCATCCAAAAACACACACCAATTACTCAGTTTTAATTAAGAGAAGTGCAAGTGGTTCCATTATGGTATGGAATGCATTTTATTGACATGAATTTACTCCAGTCAAATACACATTTCACATTTGAAAAATTTACTAAGTTTTCAAGAGCTCTAATTTGGATCATGTTAAATCCAATTGAGGTCCTCTCCTAATGAGTACTCAGCCTTAGGTGTCATTTTTCTGTATCAGGGTCAGATCTAGTATTCAATGAAATAGTTTTGCCATACTTTACTTTCTGTATGCAGGAGTGCTATGTGACGGTCACATAAAGCAGATAATTCCAAATTCTTGTGGTCCAACTTACTTTTGGTTAACTGCAGAGAAAAAATGAATTGTAAATGCAGTTTTGATGTTTTCAAAGAGATTTATCCCAACCTGAGTGTGTCAAAACTCACTGGCAAAGACTCATCTTTGTTTCATTGTTTTTCCTTATGCCTACATGATTTATCTTAATTTTCAGTAAAATATATTTTATTATCTTTTGTTAAATAATTTTCCTTTATTTACTCTTCATTTTAATACTATTTATTATTTTTAATTCAACCACAACATAATAGTTCTCCATTCAGTTATCCAGTCATTATTCAATTTGTTTTCAATTAAAAAATTATTTTGTTATATTTCAATTTAACATTTAAGGAGTGTCCATCATTGTATGGTGACTACATAATGTGGATTGAATTTTCAGCTAGAAATGTGAAACGAGATCATAAAATCAACAAACAAAGTCTCTTTTGCACAGATGATTTTCTCAGCCACCAATTTATATCCAACATGGCATATGATACTATTCAAAACATCAGTAATACTTGCAGTTAAAAGCTGTTTAATATTTATGAGAAAACAGATCCGAAATGACATCTAATCACTCTGGTGTTTTTTTTTGGCATTTGAAGACAACTGAACTTGTGCAAGCTGACAATAATTCTGGCTCTGAACCTTAATTATCTGATGATAATTTTTAGCATGATGTGACTGAAAACAAATATGTGCCTAAACATAACAGAAAATAATATTTTGGAACAACATGGGACCTATTGGTCCATCTTAGCTTTGTAACAACCCTCTGCTTTCTTCCATCCAGCTACTCTTTTGTCCAATTCACTAACTTATCCCCCACATCCATAAATATAATTTCTTTTACAAGCCTTTTATGTGGCACCTTGTCAAATGCTTTCTGAAAATCCAGATACACCAAATCTACACCCTTATCCTCATCTAGATAAGCAGTAAACTTTTCAAAGAATGTTAAAAGATTTGTAAGGCAAGATGTTCCCTTAGTGAAACCATGTTGACTATCCAATAAAATTCTAAACTTTGTTAAATAACTTGCAAAGCATTTTTTAACAGACTTTCCAAAAATTTTTCCCACAACTGATGTAACACTAATGGGTCTATAATAACTGGGACAATTTTATCACCTCCCTTGAAAAGAGGAGATACATTAGCTAACTTCCAATCCTCTGGTACCTGACCATTATTCAAGTACTGACAAAAAATAGTAGCAAGTGGTTTAAATATCCAATATTATCTGGCTCAGGAGCCTTATCATTTTTTAAACATCCTAATTTTTTCTTAACCAGCTCAGAATTAATTCAGTCATCTCGTTTGATCTTGTTTCCATTTATCAACTGATGAAGATATGTAATACTGCTTAAATCTTCATTAGTAAAAACCAAAATTTAATAACCCAGCTTATAATCATCAGATACTAGCCTACCTTTAGCATCCCGCAAGGGTTCTATCCCTATCCTAACATTTTGTTTTCCCTTAATGTATTTAAAGAAATCCTTACTGTTAATTTTTATATTTTCAGCCAACTTTTTCTCATACATCCTTTTTGATGTCCTAATTGTCTCTTGTCATACCAGTCAATTTAAATTTCTTAAATTTATTATGCTTTTCTTTAATTTTATTTCTTAAACTCTTTGTGTGCCAACCTGGTTTTGTACTTGTACCTACCCTTTTCTTTCTATTAGGAATATGTTTACATTGAATATTTAAAAATTTATCTGATCAGTGTCTCCAAATAACTCAGCTGCCCAATTCACAACAGATAACTCTTGTCACATCCCTTCAAAACTTGTAAACAAAATATCATTATTCCTTATCTCCATATGCAGCAAAACATTGAACCTAATAAAGCAATGATCACTTGCACCCACATGTTCCCTTTCTATTAGGAATATTGAAATACAGCAAGGCTTGTTTACCCAAGTTCAACATTGATCACGTTTTATCTTTGAGTGGGTTATTGGAATGTTAAAATAGGAAATAAAGCATCACCATCCCAAACATTCTCTACAAATTATTGTGAATCTTGTAAACAATTCTAGGCAAAACAAAATTGCCAAATGGCTTAAAATTCTCATCTTTAAAGTATAAATGTTAGTTATTTTTCAACCTAAGTAGCTTTTCCTTTAGTTGCCGATTTTTCTTTTATGAATGCAAAGTTGCACATTTTCAGCAATGGCATAGTCATCTATGGACGAGTTGTGATGTCTTTTTGCAATGAAGCATGCTTGGCTTTCAGGTTATTTATTTCCTCAGTCACTCTTTTACCCTTGATGACTTTCTTTATCACTTCTTTCTTTCCTTAATTATGTATTGGTGATGTGTACCAATAGCACTCAAAGCTTCTTTGTAATCTTCAACTGTCTAATTCATCCACATGAATGCACCGAATTTGTCAATAACCTTATTACATCAATATCAAGTAAAACATTTCTCAGAAAACAAGACGTTGCTGAGTAATGGTTTTCAACACATTCCAACAGTTCTTGTAACACTCTGTCCAACCAGCTTCGCTAGCAATTACAGTTTCTGCTCATTACAACACTTTTTCGTCATTGTAATATTTGCTCTATATGTTCCGCTGATCCTTTGCAAGCTTTAATAAAAACTATCTGTAAAGGTAATGGATGATAATCTGGCTTGTTTTCATTGGTTGAAAACAACGAGAGCAGAATTCACTGGCAAATTTTGTATACTTATACAAGATGTTACATTGTTAATAACATTTACACATTGTAAGACTTTGGTGTTTATAGATTTTTAATATTTCATGAACAAAATTATAAATTTCACACATTTTAGGAAATAAATAAAAACAATTCAAGGAATTATTTTCAAAATTCAAGTATTTATTTTTGAAACTTAAAGAACTTTTTAAAGATTAAACTGTTTTAAAAATACATGCACTTTCAAAATTTTCACAAAATCACTATAAAACATGCATGCTTTTTTTAAAAGAATAAATTATTTCATTAAAAATGTTATATTCAATAATGTTCGTCTGTCAATAGGTTATACTAAAGACCTATGTAATACACACAGTATATGGTCTCTTCCTTACATGCATTATATGGAAAAAAATATACCTTTATGTATATATTTTTGGCTTTAACTAAAGGCTTAATCATTGTGTTATAATGAAGGTTGAAAAAATTACCTAGCATCATACGAAATGTTTTAACCAATGAGACACTTGTAGTTCACATACCCTAACTTCAGTTTTACGTTGTCTCCCTGTCAAATCACAAGATGTACCATTAACATAATACTGACTGTGGTACCTCCTAAAGACACTTCCACTTGTTTTCTCCTGTTGAGGAAATGTGGATATTAATTTCCCAATACTCTTTCTAAGACAAAATCAAAATTCTTAGTTCATACAAGAAAAAAAATCTAACAACTTGTAGTTTGCATTAATATCTATATAATAAGAGATTTAAAAAACAAACATGATTTTCACTAGTTATTTTATGAAACAAGTAAAAACTATTTTCTGAGCAAATCTAATTCTACTTGAATAGTATTAAAAGTGATCGAAGCATTATAAAGATATATTTAATATCAAAAATAAAGCTGTATAGTTCAAGATTTACTGTGTAATACCTAGTAGAACAAAATAAATCTAAATCCATTATATAACTTTAAAAGATGCATATCCACTACATTTATAATGTACATAAAAGTTATCCTAAATTGCCATTACAGATTTTATACACGTATGTTGCCCAACACGACAAAGTTGTTTTTGAAAGTATTTTCTTAGTTCATATCATCTGGATTTGCAATATATATTATCAGTGAAATCATGATTATTTTTCATAAATCTTTATAATTTACTGTATTAGAAATTTTTCAATACTTATAAATTTTCAGCTTTCATAAAAAAAAAATTAAATTCTAACCTAGATTAGACAGTGAATAAAATTAAATTTTTTCATGAACACACAAAGAGAACGTAACTTTTTCCACAATTGAGTGATACAGAATGATAAATGTGAAATTTTTACTGCTCAAAATCCAATATTAAATTATATGTATTTTCTCTCTTTCTCTTAATGTGCAAGTTTATTTTCCTTTACTATCTAGAACATGTTCTGAGTTTGTTACAGAGAGCTGCATTTGAACCAGAATGATAGTAACCACACATTTTTAAGGTAGAATACGTCCAGCCTCAAGGTATTAATACTTTATTCAGTTCAATGAGAAAAGTTAAAGGTGATCTTATTTGTAAGCATCTTACAAAAAATTTCCAAGACATTTAAATATGGCTCAGAAAAAAAAAAACATTACTTAAGCTTGTAAAAATCATAAAGTTCTTGCCATTCCAAACTGATAATGATCTGTTAACACAAAGACTTTAACTCTTCAAACAATACATTAAACAGGTTTACTCACTTAAACAATGCTAAGAAAATTGTTGTTGTATTCAGTATGAAATAATAGAAAAACCAAAGAGTGAAATTCTCATTCATTAAAAACACAAGCAACTTTCTGTGTGTGTGTATGTGTAAGATAACACTGAATTTCAACTTAAGAGCTCTTTAATAACATAAAAGTAAAGCAGAAATTAAGACCATACACTGCAAGTGCAATGAACACAACAAAATCAGCAATCTGCATTTTTGCCAGATCAACAAACTTCTAGTTTAATCAGCTAGTCTAATACAGTTTGAGAGATTCTTGCCCTCTGATATGCAATCCTCAGCAAACAGATTTGTATCTCATTTTTATAAGTTTGTATATAAATAAAATCTGTGTTTTCTGTCTGATTTGGAAACTAATTTTCTCACTTGTATATTTTACTAATATACATTTCTTTCTTCTTTTTTTTTTGCTTATTTTTAAGAGCAGATTGCTTTTCCTTAGTCTGTATAATCTTCGTGTATTATAGAAGAAAGTTGCAATATTCTGGATTAATAAATAACTGCACTTTTAGGAAGATAGTTAACATCTATCACATTTCATAATTTAATAACCTAATAATCTACTACTAGTAACTTTTATACTCTTTCTCTAATGTAATATTAAATATCAAAACCTCTGATGATGCATTAACTATATAGGTAAGAACTAAAATAATTTAAAAAGTTATGAATTAATTAATACAATGCTGTAAAATAAATTGACTAGAAATAATTAGCATCATAAATTAAATCAAAGCATGAAAGAATGCACTGAACAATCAATTTCAATAATCTCATACAATTCAACAAACTTAGGAGGTTTAGGTTAAAACCATGTACTAAGCTATAAGTGCAAAATAATTTTCATGACTGCTAAAACACTTTACACATTGAGCAGAAAGTATGGTATAATGTCAAATTTATCAATAAAGCAACTTTAATGGTGAAATATTTATCACAACTATAAATTTCTATTACAATATTTACCTAAGCTATAATACATATCAAAGACTGTAGCTGGAAGCATGAAGGTAACTTATTTGATTAACTTATTACTTATTATTTAAATAAGACACATTTGCATAAGAAAAATTGTGTTAAGCAATTAAGAAATGCTAACAGACAAAATAAATTGTTGTAGTGCACCAAGAAAAGTAAAAAAAACTTGAAGAATATGAAAAGTAAATAGTAAAATAATAAAAATATATGATACTAACTGAATAATCAGACTCGTTGCTCCAGTCATAGTCTGACTCGTAATTTCCTAAGGTCATAACTTGGCCTACAATTTTACTGTCTAATAAAAAGAAAATAAATTAATAATTTTAAGTTATGAATGAAATAGAGTACATAAAAATCACAACTTCTCATGGTTATCCATTTCAGTTATACTTCAAGAATTTGAAATAATTATTTTCTTTTCTCAATAAAAATAAAATTATAAATTACCAGTTAATTATGGAAGATCAGCCAGCAAAAATTAAAATTGTTTCCCAGTAAAATAATGCTTAAATACTCTATACTTTGAACAGAAATTGTGGCTCTTTTTCTCATTTATCAATAAAATAACTAACAAATTAACTATTTTACTATAATAGTTCATTTTTGTGCATTAATCTCCAGTATAAATGTTTTTCATTAAAAAAAAGAACATAATGGAGTTTGCAAATGTAACTATACACTTTTCTTAACCAAAACAATTAATTATGTATACTTATTCATTTATTTTAACTTTTGTGATCCTTCTATTTTGAAGTATAGCACTCTGCAAGTCAGTAAATTTTTCATTAAACAAGATAACTCTTTCAGTATTGGAAATTAAAGTAAAAAATTGAGTGAATCTATAAAAGTACATGAAAGGTTACTTCAAAATAATATAAGATGTGTTAAGACTACTCGTTTTGGAAAGTTATATTAACAATTATAGTTGTCATATTTACTGGAGGTTTAGAAGAATGCCAAGTGATAATGATTTTATGCCTTCCCTTATATCTCCATAAAATTAGAAAAATTTGTCAGAAGACAAAAACTACTTAATTATTTTTTTAAAACATCAATTCTTTTTTGCTAATAAAAAATAAAATTACTTAACTATAACAAACGACTAACTGTATATTTCTTTAAATTGAACATTATGGCATTTAATAATATTTTAATAAATCTAACTGAATGTATGGAATTATATGCATTGTTTACTTCATATTTTTACTTAACATAGCTTCATTGCTCTGTTTGACTGACTTAAATACAATTTAAAATCATTTTTTCATATTATTTCACTCAAATTATTTCTTCACATAATACCTATAATTAATCATACAAGATACATATATTCATATAATCTACTCTTTAAAGTTGTAATGTTATTATCAAGATTTTTAACACCTACTTATCAATAACTTTAACCCTCTCGCTGTGGGTAAGTAAAGGTATGCACGTGACAACCTTTTAGAGGGTTACTTTATTATCATAGTATATGAATAAACTTGGTATCAAAACATAGTTAATGTATCAAATGTTAATTTTATACAAGTTTTAAATTCTTCATTTTATAATAAAATATTTATAAAAATCTTCAATCTCCCCTAGTATGAGAATTGTAACATTTGTTCTATAGGTCTTCCCTCTTCTCTAATTTATTTACCACCCCTCTAAGATGTATGGAACTTAATAAGGTAAATTCCTCATTATAATATAGATATTACTAACACAAAGTACAACTTTTATAGCCTCCAATCTTATTTGTATGGAGCAACAAACTAGAAAATCAGATCCACTTGCCATGCTCATTTCCCTCTGACATTTTATACTATATTTATAAGCAACAGAAAGTCAAAGTTTTAGTATAACAAATGACATATTATATTACATTGTTTTCTGTACAGAACATTGTCTATTTCACCTTCATTTTAAAACTTATTCTCATAGTATTCACATTGATAAACCTAGCTGAATTTTTAAAGGCTTTTATCACATAGTTATAAAGGCAGATAAATTACCTTACACAATAGTTTTATTTGTGCATATTATTCTTTGTTCTTAGGTGCATTAGTTAATTAAATAAAAATTATTTAGTGTGTTAGTACCATTAGTATAAAAAAGTAGGCTTAAGTTTCATTGACAATTGACAGCAAAAAAAGACAAAAGGACCCACATAAGTACCATATTTCTTGTTTTTCATGTATATTCTTTATTTATTATTATTATAAAAGTAACTAAAATGTAAAAATTAGATACTGGTTAAGTTAAATAAGGTAAGATAATGAAAAATACTAATAATAATAATGAGAATTCTTTACAAGGTATGCTCATGAGTAGCTTGTACATTATCTAATTCGATACAGTAACAGAAGCTAATTGTTCACCAAGTGAGTTAAAACTTGTGTGGCAGAATTATTAATTATACACATTTCAAAGGGCAATAAAATAACAAAATTAAGTATAAACTGTTAGTAGCAGTAGTAGTTTAAATAACAAGAATATTAATTTTGTTTTACTAAACAAGTTTATAATTGAAAATCAGTAATATTCATTATTATAAGTTACACAGCCCCAATGTTAAAAAAACTAATTTGTAAAGAATGTTTTTTTTCAGTAAAAATAAATAATAACACTCACCTTCTAAGTGATACTGTTTTACATAATGCCCATAACAAAACTCGTATGTCCACCAGTCTTTAGTCTAAAAGTAAAAATTACAAAGTCTGTAAAATATATACACACACATCTAGATACATATTATAAACAAGTAAAATAATAACACCTATAAATGAAAAATTACATTTTAAGAAACAAAGCATCATCTCTTTAAACACACACAAAAATAAGCAGTCTTCTTCAACATAGCACTATTAAAATAAGACACTATTTTTTCTATATTAAAAATGATGTTTGCTTGTTTGTTTCCTCTTACCTCTGTTGTAAGCTACTATGTACACCAGTCCTGAGTTTATGCAAAAATGTATCAATATTTAGAAAAATATGAATAAATATAGTTTTATTTAAAGATCCATCAAGATGTAGGGCACTTAAAAATTTCAAATGTTAAATATTTTGTAGGTGCATATATAGCCAAATCAATTTAAAAACAAAATATTATCATATTAGTATAACAACAATTCAATAACTTTTTTTGCAAAGAATTTTAAATACCTTAAAGAATGTTTACATGTTATGAAACACATTACATGTACCTGCATTTCTGAAATAACTACATGTTTGTTGTCAAGCTACACAATGGGCTATCTGTGCTCAATCCATCATAGGTATCAAGACCTGATTTTTAGTGTTACAAGTAACAGTTCTAGCATAACAATGCCTTTAAAACCCTCAAAATGTTCTGCTGTCAGGCTTTTATCATAATACATGTATTTATATTAAATTATATCCTAAGTGTAAGATTCTCAACAAGTTACATAGTGAACAATGTGTACAGCAATAAGTCAAGCAGTAAAACTATACTCAGTACAACTTTGTACAACTCCAGATATTTTCACTTCACAAGCAAATCAGTCAAGCTATCTTATAAAATATAAAGAGGCTTACAGCTAATAGATATAAGAGGACCAAACAAACAATGTAGATTATTGCACATATACAAAAGACTCAATCAAAGCTGACACACACAAAAAAAAATAGCAACTAATGTTAAGTTAAATTTTGAGTCACATTAGGGCAAAAGTATTGAAGCCAACTACTGAAGAACTTACAATTATGAAACTTAGTTGTATTTACCTTAGTTTAAATTTTACATTTTACAGAAGCAGGACATTTATACTAAAATGTCTTATTAAAAACTGCTTAGCTTAAAACAAAATTCACAAATGATCAAAATATTCTAACAACAGACAAACATTTCACACATTCTGTCATGTTAAAATTCATTCAGGTGGGAAGTAACTTTCACAAAGTTAGGAAAAATGGCAATGAGACCCATACTAACCCTGATTTTAAATATCTTATTCATGTAAAACCCGAAATACTTCACCATTTTCACCATTATTCATACACCATAACTATTATATGAACATACAGCTCCAACATTTCTGACAATCAACTTTCTCACTTACACTATCCAAATATTATATTCATTATTGGACACTAAAATGGAAAGTAAATTACTATTGCTGGATATTGTAGTATGTAGGCACATTATGCAATTTCAACATTCTTATTCTAATATATTAGTTTTTAAATTTTGCATAAAACACAGTAAGAAAGTTACATTGCTTTTGTTCCTTGACATTCTCTTGTGGTATGGGAGATATGGCTTTTACCAATGCTGCTAATGTCCATGACTTCAATTTCATTGCAGCCAACAACTCTGTAAGAAGAGCTGCCTATGTCTGGTGGCACACCCAGAACTGCTGTTCATACTCTTGACTGATAACCAACCTCTGTGCAAGGGAAGAATGGACAGATGAGGTTCATCGTGGTAGTATACTGCAGGGGCAGCCATAGATCATGGAGGAGACTGAGATTGTGCACAGCCAACAGATGGTCTGCCAAAAGTAATTCACTGATCTGGAACCTTGGACTATGGATCAACTACTCACACAAGAGTCAGCCTTTAAATATGCCTTCAAAATTTGCCCATAATGTCTAGAAAATCTCAATCAGATAATTGCTAAGAGGTCATAATGGAAAAGTCATGGCCATGATTGAGACAAAACAGATGATGCCCTGACATTCAGGAGTGCAGAGAAAGAATATCTGAAGCATTTCAGACAGATAACTACTTTGAATTGCTGATAGCCAAGCCAGGCTGTAAAATGCCTGATCTTGATACAAGACAGTCAAGCCCTAGACTCCAACAAAAACTCAAGTGAGGTACAACTTTGGGGTGTGAGATGGTTACCACCAAAGGCTTGACACGTGGGAAATCAAGCAATCCATCACATAGAGTTCAAGGCTTGGAAGAGTGTAACACAGACAACTTGGGCAACTAAACAAATAATCAATACAATTTACACATTGAAGTTTACCATACAATTACTTTGGCAGATTGTGTAGAAACTCTCATTAACAAGTTTGTGAATGGTCTACCCAAGGAGATGATGAGGTACCATATGGGTATGAAAGATCCTCACCTTGACTGGAGCAATTTCTGTAACAATGTGATATGAAGTGGTAACTTTAAACAGGTCATAAGAAAGGAAGAAGCCTGGAGCTATGGCTGCAGTAGCTGAACCTTAGACAAACTGTCCTACCCAGGCACCTACACTGTAACTAGCTTGAACTCAATCAAGGGTTAACCAATTTCCCACAAATACCAGCACTGCAATGCAACCACACTGATGTGTGAATGAGAAGGGCTATCCTGGTTCACCCATGGTTTATATGCCACAACCAATGCTGATGATTCTTCCATCTAGTTGTTGTTCTGGAAGAAAGAAGTAAAGCATTTGTTTTGCCTGTGGAGGGTTAGATCACTTTCAAGTGAACTGCCTTGAAGCAAAGCATTTAGTTTCAACCAATGGCTCAGTAACCACCAACTTGGAAGAGTGCAATGGATGAGCAACACTGAAAAGTCTGGTGGTTTGCCCAGCTCTCTCAGGGCTGGATGGGTTTGGTATTTGCCAGTCAGGATACAAAGATGAGAGTGGCCAGAACACTGGAAGATCTCAGTGTATCAGGCTCTCCAAGCACCACTACTACTTGGGCCAGTTGAAACAAACTTCTTTCTGGTGAATGAAAGTATACTAAATGTGAATGGTGAGATGAATCTCGAACTATTTCTAGGAGGCATCACTCATAGAATGAAATTAGTCACTGCCAACCTCAGTTTTAGCAAACATTTTGTGTATGGATGTATTGCAGGATTTATCTGGCAGTTTTGCCTGTACAACCATTGAATTGATGTTCTGTGGGAGTTTTACAATGATAGGGAGACCAGACCCAGGATAAGTGGAAATAATCAAGGTTATTGGTTATACTTGGGATGCATACATCTTGCTATGAGTAAAATATGGACACTTGAATTTATATACCACAAACCTTTGAATAAAAAAATTTACATTGAATACAGACATTGTATGATGATGAAAGAACTACTTCCAGTTGTAGTCTTCCATATGCTATATTTTCATTGTTATAATTTAGTTGTTTGCTAGAGGGAGATGCTAATTATGATGATGCTAGATCTAAAAAGTTAAAAGTAGTCCTAGAAGGATCATGATGATTTAATAATCTAGAAATGCATAAAGAATCAATTTGAGAATTTAGTGTGCATTCAATGAGTGTTTAATTCAGTGTTAGATAGTGTGAGTTATTGCATATATTTAGTCACTCAATCGATAAGCAAGTAAATTGCACAAGAAAGTTTTATATTTGTCAGTTAGACAGGTAATATTAGTATCACAATTTCTGTTGAAAATGAAAATTGTTTTTTTTTTTGTGAACTTAGGCTTACAACTTCACTAAAAGTAAACATACCTATAGTAAACATTATAGAAGAAATAAATTGTCATTACATGGAGTGGACTATGTATTATTTTCACCAAATAACTGAATAGAATTGCACAGCGATGGAACACATTATAACAATACTTGTAAGGTAAAAACTTTACTTGAGTAGACAACGTGTAGTTGAAATGGTTGATGAACTTGAAAAATCTAGAAGGGATGATAGCATGCTGGATAACAGGAGCATGATTTAGTCATACAGTTACCCAGAACTGAAACACGAATGCTAACAGATTATTTCACAGTATGGTAAGGCACTGTCTATTCATCAAATGTCAAAAACCTGGACACTGTGTGAGAATTGGGATCTTTTCTGTCAGAGAAACAATCTATACAATACAAGATTTCACTGGGTATTTATTTCAGCATGGATGTAAGAGATTAATGTGCATGCATGATTAATGAGAATTGCTCACATTACCTTAGTTACTTTGAGCCCTATTAAAGTTGGCACCAAGCTAGCATAAACTATCTCAATTCAATCAGAAAGAGAAAGGTAGACTCAGAATCGAAACATCGAAAGCTCAGCTCTTTTCATACCTCAAGATGGCACTCCAGAATACTTGTAAGCAGTAACTGCTTATTTGTCATATGTTGTATTAGAAGAAACAATTAAATAACTAACTTGTGAAAATATTAATTATTAAAAAGTAACTGATTTAAACTGACTTAAGACACAAGTATTGAAATTTTAGGAAGAGGTTAATGTATTTTGAGCATAATTATATTTTGTATGTATTACACCTGTGTGTGTACATCTTCATTTTAACTCTCACTGTAAACATTCCTAAGGGTTAGATGAACATACGAGTCACAGCTATTAATTATAAATATCTTTCACAACTTATTTACTACTGACTATTTAAAAATGCTCCAGTTTCTGAGTCTTTTTAAATCAACTTGATTTTTTTCTGTGATCCTTTGTATTAATTCTTTCATCATGATCTAGTGAGTCAATATAGCCTTATCTCCATCCCACATATAGGTCATGTCATCAAGGAGTCGAAATGAATAAAATAAGGACACGTGAATCTCAATACCACAAAATTTTGAACAAAACATTCTACATTCCTCAGTTCTATAGTATAAAATTCTGCCAAAACTCATACATGCACTGAACAAATGCTTGTAGTTCATAAACAATTCCCAAATTAACACAGGTAAATAAAGCTCATTACAGCTTCAAAATAAAACATGTACGCAGACATATTGATATAAAATAAGAATTATAAGATTTACCTTTAATAAGCATGGACTTTTATGTAAAGGTTCCAGAAGCTGTTTGATGTCAGGTTCTTCCTTTGGTGATTCAGCAGATGATGCCTGATCAGTTGCTGTTGAAGGTTGAGGTAACACACACTGGTACTGCTGACCAAATTTTGAAGTCAAATGGAGAACAGATGTACTTGTTTCCTAACAATACAAGTAGTTAGTATTTTACATGGCTGTTAAATAATGGACAATACAAGTAGTTGGTATTTTACATGGCTGTTAAATAATGGATTCAATTTCATTCTTTAGCAATCTGTTTCAGTTGTCGATTTTGATTACCTTGCCCTACAGTTTCAAGTTTCTTTAAAAGCATTTGCCTTCATATTTTAACTTGATTTTTTTCCTATTGTAAGCTGGTTAAAAATGTATCCTTACTGTCTTGCTTAATGTTTTATATGTTATATATATGTATGTATGTTTGTATCTATGTATGAATCTACAATTTAAAACAAAAATGAGAAGAAAAAAAAAACCTAAAATGATACAGAACCTAATTACATCTACACATACAATGCCTGAAAATATTTCAAATAGGATATTGATTTTCATGCAAGGTCACCTACTTTTGCATCTTTAAATATTTATAGCTACTTGCAGATGAATAACAAAAAATGTCCTCTACTTTTTTCTTTTGTCTGCCATCTTAGCATGAATATCTTATTTCTAGGCCAGTTAAGTCAGAGTATTCTAGTTCCCCACTAATAAACAAACATATCCAACAAATAAAGCAAAAATGCTATCTGGTATGTACTCTACTGATGATACTTCAAGGAGTTTAAAAAAAAAAGAGTTCTATTGACACCTACATGCACATTTCCATGTGCATATATTTAGTTTAGTTTCAGTTTGCTTTAAATACAATAATATACAGTATATCTCAGATAGATACTATGGTAGTCATGGCAAAATCCACAATAAGCAACAGAACTAACCAAATGTAAACAGTAAACTGTATCCTTACAAAATGGAACAAAAAAGTAAAAATAACAGATTGAAAAAGGATTTTCACACATGGTTATAAAACTGTAATGAGGTCAGTAGTTTAGGTTAAACTTGCACGTATTCACCTCTTACTTCAGTAGGGACTAGAAGAAACATCCTATCCCATAACATTAATTTTCAAATATAACAAAGATGATGCACTGTCCATGTAATATAAAAATGTTAATAATACTTTTCACTTACAGATTATGTCTGAGAAAAAATTATCCAACAAAAGCATAACGTCTAAAGTTCACTGAAAAGTTTTCAAACTAAATCAAAGATCACACTATACATAAAAGTATTCCAGTTCCACTATATCATCAAAATTTAAATGCATCATTGGTTGATACTGTCCTCTACAAGGGTGAATTTTTGATAAACAGTTTCTATTGATAACTTATACATACTAAGAGATTTCAATAATGCTTTATATAATGATATAAAATAGCATAAACTAGCTTTGTTCAGAAATTACATTTCCAGTTAAAGTAAGCCTATGTACATGATATGTAAATAAATAATACAGATTTAATATTATTTATACTTTTCATCAACAAACTTTGCATCTGTTTTCTACAACTTTCAAGTACTCTATAACTTGTATATTAATTTCATTCTCAACTACAAGTTCATTTCCTAGCTCTAATGTAAACAAAGTGGAGAACAAAACAAATACAGCTATTAAGTTACATTTAAGGAAATATTTAATTTAGAGACAGGAGGATTATTGTGTTTACAATACACAAACAACAAGTTCATTTCCTAGCTGGATCCCTGATTTTATTTCTTTCAATGACATTGTAGAAAAAATAAAAGATTCAGGTATGACTACAGATTAAATTCTTAAACCCAATGCTTAAATGTTTTTCTGTGGTGAACAAAACAAATACAACTATTGTTACATTTATGGAAATGTTTAATTTACAGACAGGAGGATTATTGTGTTTACAATACACAAACAACAATCAGGCCATTTGGTCCTTCAAAACAACCTACATGCACTATCATCCTTAAGAGAAATATAGAAGGGACATTTCATGGAGTGTCACCCACTAGGGAAGAAGTGTGATCCTAGTGGGAGCATAACTTGGTGGGAGACCAAATCCATCTCAAGCAGGAAATACTCTTTTCACACTACAAGTGGTAGTGTAGAAGGGTACAGTCAAAATAGTGTCCTGTGTGGTGCTAAAGCATCACAAAGATGGGTGGAATGTAAAGGCTGCTCAACCAGCTTGGGTATTTCACAGAGTCTGTAGTACATGTGTAGTGTGGCTAGGGCAATAAGTCAAGCCGTAAAGTGCATGAGAAATAGTTATGCGAACTACCTACCAGAATAAACAAGTGCAAAGGAAAATGCAAAACCCATCCAGCTAGTCACAACCACCAGGAATGGTTCAGTTCCTAGTGTAGGGAGAGGCCCTTACTATACTTCCAGGTAATCATTCCTGCTATACTTCTCATACAAGTGGGATTACATTGACCCAAAGGTGAGATCTCCATATCAACCTCTCCAGTGGCTTAGTACTGGATAAGCAAGAGTTGCCCATTTCACAAGAAGAAAATAAGAAGGAGGGATTCCCATAAGAAGAACACCAGAGTTGCATAAACCAAACAGTAATTAACTATCTTCTAGATAAGGTCCAGCAATAAGAGATGTACAATGGGTTACCACAAATAGGAAATGCAATACCTAGCCAGGTGTGAAGACAGTGAACCACACCAAATGCTGTTTTTTTTGTTTGGTTGTTTAAATGTAGCAGTATAACTTAGAATGTAGAATATACAACAGTTGAAGCAGTCTTGTAGAATAGCCCATCTCAACAGTGGGAAATGAGCAGGGGCATATGAGATGAACACTTTGCTATGCCATAAACAATGTGGAGAGAGAGAAGTATTCCCTGTAAGGCAATACCAGCTATATAGTGGGTTCCGTTGTTTCCAGTATATTATATATACACATACATATATATACACACATACATACACTGTAGTTTGAGGTGGTGGTTTATTTTTGTTAAAGTTACAAGAAAAATAAATGAGTGAAATTTACAATTGAGCTAGCTAAAAAAGGACAATCAGAAGAACCTGGAAAGAGGTGCTGTGAATTAAAGCCAGCATCATGGGAAGAGGTTGAAGGGTGGGACAGGCATACAGAAATAGGGTGAACCAATTTAGACTTAGAAGGAATGGAGCCTGGGACATATGACTTCCAAAAAAGTGGAAGCTTGGTGTAGAAGACAGTTGCAGATGTGTCGAGAGGATTTCCAAAGTGGGAACAAATCTATGGAAACACCAGACAAAGACCACTCTGTCAGAAAGATTCATTTTGGGCAAGACAGCATCTGCCAATAACATCAAAGCTTCAAGAACATGGTAGACTAACAACTTGATGTTGTTGTCATGAGTCCAAAAGAGGAATTCGAGAACAAGAAAGCAAAGGCTCCAAGAGTGCTGTTTGATATAAGAAACAACAATAGAGTTGTCAAAATAAATCAAAACATGTTGACCAGACAGTTGTAACAAAAGATGGTGGCAAGTCTATTGAACTGCCCACATCTCAAGGACACCGATATGAAAAGACCACTCCACGGGAGACCAAATAATGAAAATATACAGAACTGCAGCCTACCCAGCTAAAGAAGCATCTGTGAACAGGTTTAAAAATGCCAGAGTGGAAAAAATGGATGCTCACATGGAAATGTCTGAGCACCATAATAGCAAGAAATGGAGAGATGGAATAAGAGACATGAGAGAAGAGAATAGATCATACATTCCACTGATCTGTCAGAATTTACTGTAGAGGACACATCCAGAGAAAGAAAGGACATGAGAGAGGCAAGAGGTCCAAAACAAGTGGGGTCAATAATTTTAAGACACACAATGAAATGGGAACACTGTTGGCAAAGTAAGAGAAAGTGAAATTGAAGCTGTATGAAGTATCCCATCCTGGTGGTAGCTATGAGACATCCATTAGAGTATGGTCATCGTGTCTATTGTCTCAAAAACTCTCCAAGGAAGTGGGAAAAGGAACCTACTGAAACTTCATCTGCCACCTAATGATATCCTCTAACCTCTTCTGAAAGGAATTACCCTATCATAGAGCACCAGTGCCTATGGAAGAATAATGTCGAGAACAATTTGAGAGATAAAAGGTAACATGTGAGAGTACCGACCAGAAGAATCCACTTTACTTTATGTGACACTTATCAATGTAATTGCTACTCATAAATAAATAATTATATGGATTAAGTTAATCAATGTGCTCCAATTGTCAATGTTTTCCAACTCCAAACAAGTTCCAGTAATTCCTTTAACAAGTATATCAGTCTTTAATTTAACCACTTCCCTGATTATCCAGAGTATACTCGAGCCAAGTGGTTTGGTAAAAAATTATATAATTATTATACTATGTTAAATCAGATTGCTTGTACCTCAAAAGTCTTTCACCCAAGTAACCTTGTGAGAGTGAAATTATGTTTTCTACCAATTACACCAATAGATGGTAGCAAGTGCTTTGTAGCCAGCTTCTGATAACTGTGTGTGTAGCATCTGTCAACAAATGTGTAGCTGTATCATTTTACTGCTTGCATTTTTGGGTCTCTAAAATTGAAAATGGAGATTAATTTGATGACAACAATGCCAAATATATAGATATTGAGGAATTTTACAGTGATAGTGAAACCAATATGTTATATGAAGAAGAGGCAAATTCAGATTCTGACAGTTCAGTTGGTTTGTCTCTTGTTAGAGTTTAGACTAAATAGAAAGCATCACCCTCTTTTATTCTGCCTGCTCCACAATTTCCACACACATATATACTTCCACTGTCAATTACATAACCGATCAAGATTACATTGTTTTGCAATCCTTCAACTTTTTTTTTTTGATGATGAACTAGTTGATGCAATAAAAAATCAAACTAACATATTTGCAGAACAATGTTTGAAGCAAGCATCCTGGTCACACAATAGTGACAGAAACAAATGGCACCCTATTACCTGTGATGAAATTTGTGTTTTTTTGGCCATTATAATCTTACAAAGTATTGTAAGGAAACCTGATCAGCAACTTTATTCATCAAAGAAGTCCATAATTTCCACATCCTTTTCCAAAAAACAATGTCAAACAAGAGATTTTGTAAAATAAAATATACTTGCACTTTTCAAACAACGAAGAATATGACCACCCAGGTCATATTGTATTGAGTTTAGGATTTGAATGGGATTTTTACAAGAACCTAGCTTATAAATTTAGTAATCTGTATACACCTGAAAGAGACATCACTAAAGATGAAAAATCTCTTGGTTCATAAACGAAGAGTTGGTTGGGTTCAATATATAACTTTGAAGAGAGTTAGGTGTGGGATCAAATTTATATAATAAAAATGGATATGTCTGGTCATTCATTATACGTACTGAAAAAGTACAATAATTGATTATGACTCTTACAAAACCTTTATGGAACAAGGAATACTGCTTTACCATGGATAATTTTTATACATCACCACAACTGGCTGACCTTGTGGGAAAAAAACATACTTATGAGGGATGATGAAACTTTTAAGAACAGACATGCCTAAAGATTTTCAAAGCAAAACATTGAAGAAAGGAGAAATTAGAGCCTACAGAAGAGAAAAGATTAGTGTCATGCATTGGAAGAACAATCATATGCAATTAAGAAATGATGAATGTAGACAAAAAAAGTTAAATTAAATAAAGAAAAAGCCAAAAGTAGTAATGGATTATAATAATACAATGGGAATAGACAGAAGATACCACTATTTGACAGATTACTATCTTCCAGGAAAAGAAGACAAGAAATACTAATGAGGAAAATTAACATTTTCCTTACCTGAAAAGTAATTTCAATAGATATTCATCCACACACACACACACACACACACAGTTAATCTATCTTCCACATGCACCTGCCTTAGAGGTTTGCATGCCTTTAGTGAACTCCCAATTAATCTCAACAGATTTCTCATGAATTGCTCTACTGCATGATAATGTTATTATACAGCAAAATCCCTTCACCATTAAGAGAGCAATACACCTCCTTGCACACTAATTCCCTCTATGCGTTTACACTTATGAATCTTCATTCTTTGCTGAGGCAAGTAAGAAATATGCAACAGAAGTGCAGAGAATAGGTGGGAATGTGTGTGTGTGGGAAGGTATCTATCAAAAATACATTTTCAGGTAAGGAAGATGTTAACTTTCAAGACGATATCACACATCTTCACAAAGTTAAGCTAGAACCGATGATGAAATGGAAGAGGGGCTGATGCAAAGAATTACCTAGATGAGCTCCCTTCAGAGATGCCCTAAAGAAGCCCATTATGTGACATCCAATGGCAGGAGCTCTATAGGGGCATGGAAGACTGGATTTCATCTCTTCCAGTGTATAATCTTTACCTAGAAATACTAAAGGAAGAGGCAAACAAGACTATGTGTCATAGGGATGGGTGGAATAGTAGCATGGCTGTGTGAGTACTTTCACACTAGAGGTCAGATAGCCAATATGTGTAGTGTGGTTAAGGCACATTGAGATCATACCTTTTGCTCACCTCATCTCTACCATCAGACTTTACTAGACCTTCACCTTCTGCAGGAAGAGGGCATAGAGTCATGCCATAGAGAAAAGTAAGATGTCAGCACACCTTGACTAAACTGAATAAACATCAGCTGCAGGAGGAGGACACAATTTGTTAGTGCACGCTCACCTTAATTCAACTGAATAGGTGACGTCCACACGATGAACGTGCATGTGTATAGTGTGTGCTCATCTCAACTCTATTGAACAGACACATCCACAGGAAGAGGGCATGATGGTGCATGCTCAACTCAACTAAACAGTTACAGGCTGCAGAAGGAGGAAGGAACAGTATCATCGTATGCACTCATCTCAACTCTACTGAACAGACTGTGACTGCAGAAGAGAATAGCATTACAGTGTGTATGCTCACCTCAACTCAAGACTCAGGCTGCAAGAGGAAGGAACAAGTGGCATAGCTATATAAGGGGTGACTGCAATACACTAACAGTGTCACCACAGCTCCACTCCACTTCCCACAATATTGGAACCCTTTGTTCTAGCCCCACTGGTTAGGTTCCAACTAGTAAGGATTCTCCATGGCCAATTTTAAATTCTCTGCAGCACTGATTTATCTCCTACACATTTAAATTCCAAATATTACAAACAAAACATGTATGTTTTAACTCTTTTATAATTACATGAAGGGCTCAGGCATGTTTTTGAGACAACAAATATATTTGATTTTATTTTGAAAGTAGGTATTTCAGGCCTATACATCACTAAACTCACATGGCTAAATCTATTAAAGTTCATAAAGACGTTTTGTGCACCAAATTACACATCCACAAAATAAATCCTACCATACTGATGCATCATAATTTAGTGTACATCCCTAGCCACTTAACACGATTTACACCTGTAATAATTAGAATCAGCTATGTGGTAATAACAATTTTTATCTGATACATTTGATTTTAATAACTTATTTGAAATTATTTTAGGACATAATTTTTGTCACAAAAACACAACATAACCGAGACCTTCACGTAAATTGAAAGCATTAAAACATACATAATTTATTCAAACTACTTAGGTATTTTATTTAAATATGCAAGAAATATGTTTGTGATACAGGGAAGTGGCAAAAATAAATGTGGTGAGAAAGAGAGCAGAGATGTCTCAGTATTATTTGTAGTGTTGCAGTACTTAGAAAGTACCATATTACTTTTCTTAGCCTTGAAAAGTAAACTGTTTAGTTAACAGGATTTTAAACATTTTCCACATGCTTTCAAAATGCTTACAGTTTCACATGTAGAAAATCTGCCTTATGGTGACTACACAGTACTGACTGTGTGCTAGTTACATATGGTCATGGAATAAGACCCACTTGAATATTTTTGGGCTCTCTTATGAATGTTGTTACATACCTAGTTCTGATCTTGTATCTAGCTTCTCCTCTTTACTTTCACCTACAGGAATATTACACTTACCAGTGGCATAGGAACACAGTGCCTATTACAAGTATAATAGTATAAACATTTAAATTTTAATACTACATATTCAACTTTGACCTCGGTCTCAAAAGCCCAGGCTGATTCATTCAACCTAGTACTAGTAGTACTAAGTTAGTAGGTTAGACCTAAGTAAGTTTAAATTAACCATAAAGTTAAACTGTTAAAGTTAATTTAATGTTACTTTTACTAGTGTTAGACCAAGTACAACTATTACTATTAGTATTACAAGTGGTAGTATTATTAGTAGTAGTGGTATTTTAACTATTTATTAGTACTGCAATTTGCAAATAAGTGGGAAACGTACCTCTCCAATTTTTACTGGGGTATTAAGAATATCCACTTCATAGCTTATGAGATTAAGTTCATCACTATTGAAAAAACCACATACAATAATAAGGAATACATCTGACAAAATAAAATACAATGCTAGGAGAACACTAAGCTTAAATTGACAACCCATGATTTTCACAACCCTAAAACCTCGTTACAAACCCGAGTAGACATAACACTAGCGAGTATACGTTGATCGACAAAATGTACCTCATAGATCACGTAATTTTATTTTTTCCGTTTATCATTTGTTAACCTCACTACCAAGAACTGGAGGGACCGTTGTAGTATAATGATGTGAAACTGCTAAATCTTAAATGATTTATCAATTTATTTATTATTATTTTTATTTTTTTGCAGGGTCTATTATAACACACTGTTTTCAAAAATGTAACCTTATGTAATGCAGGCATATATTTTACAGCCTGATTTAGTAAAATAGAAATCTTAAAGATTTTTCGTTTCTTTTATGCATATGCAGTTTTAGCATAAACACGTAGAATAAAAAAGTCGCCCCCCAGTGGCACAGCAGCATGTCTACGGACTTACAACGCTAAAAACCGGGTTTCGATACTCGTGGTGGGAAGAGCACAAATAGCCCAAAACATTCGTTGAGTTTGCCTTGTTCTAGTTGCTTTGTTCTCTGTACTAGATAATGTCTATTCTGCCCGAGAAGATATTACAGTAACGTACAGCTTCTGAGTTGACAGAATTAGCGCTGTAACATCCATTTCTGGCTAAGTTAACGTTGACTAAGAGTAACAGCCGACCAGTGCTGTGAGAGAAAAAGGGTCACAAGATAACGCTGTCAATTGGATAAACAAATCGAGCTTATCTGTTGAATTCAGGCGCACTTTCTTTATTCATTTCTACCTGGAATTATTTGAGAAAAGGCGTATTTTTCATTATTATCCTGCATAGTTCGACAGAAGTCTCTCTCTTGAAAGAAAGAAAGCTGCGGAGCTAAAATCACTCCCATAGAAACTAAAGAATTACAGTGAAACCTATTAAGATGGTGGTCAATATATATCTATGGAATTCTTAAGTCCTTTTGACTCACCATTTAGTAACCTCAATTATTAACTTAGGTATGTGAATAATATCGTGGTATTGCACTAAAAAGAATGGTGAGTATGTATTTCAACAAAAATAAAAACAAAAACGAGATGCACAAGTAGATTTCTATCTAGATTCAAATCGGTTAACGCTAACGAAGAGTCATTCAAAATATGTAAAATGGTTCCTTTTTTCACCACTTCATAATGATATCTAACTTTACATAAAAATACCCGTGCACAAAGGAAGTTTCAAGCTTTGACAATGGAACTTGGAAATCGTGAAAGAAAGACTAACAGCTTGGTCTAACTTTCTTAATCTTCTGCTTACTGCGCTTGTTCCAATAGTTTTCTTTAATCTAGGTTTTGAAAACATTCTAGTTCTCATACTTCGATTGCGCAACTCCTCCTCTCAATAATGACGAAGCTCTGTCTTATTTTGAAATATTTAAGAAACAGTTCTCCGAAAATAGATCAAAATTAACAATGGTGGACACTGTCTCGACTGGGCGTTTGTCGGGCTACTGAATACATAATAGTTACACAGAGTACGGCTCGATATTCGGATCCATTTACTGAGATAACAAAACTCAAATATTACTCGAAAGGTAATCAATATTTAGCTTATAGTGCACAGCTTTTCGTTGAACTTAATTCAGTACACTGATCACAAGTAATTAGAGAAGAACAGAAGTGATAATAGTTTGGGAATGAATAAGCAAATGTTGAATTTGGTGTAAATGATTTAAAAGTTGTGTTCTAGAGAGTTAAATGAATAGGATAAATGTGATACAATGTTTTACTCAAAATTAACTTTATGGAATGAAACAATGGGTAACTGACGTCAAAGATAATAGTACAATGACCAGAAATCTCAAAACAGCATAAAAGGTATATGTTTTTTATATATAAGATTGATTGTTATCATCATAACATTTTAGTAAATTCCTAACTCTCACAAATTTGATTCTTAATTCTTGCTACTGTCCTAGATTACTTTAATATTAACGTTCAAATAAAAGCATTCAATATTTCGTGTACAATATACTTGTAGTTACCCAAAAATACCCATTGTATTGTAACGTTACGCTGCTGAATGTAACTCAGTTATAACGCTGAAATTCGTGGCTTAATTCCCCGAGGTGTACAAAGTACAGATAGCCAATTGTGTAGCTGCGTACTAAAAACAACAACATTAAATACTGCTTTGTTTGTTATAAAGCACAAAGCTACACAATAGTCTATTTCTGCTGTACCCGTGAGAAGTATAAAAACCTAGTTTTTAGCGTTATAAGCCTTCAGACTTTCCGCTGAACTATTGGGAGGGGGCCCATTTAAATACAAAAATAATTTTATTCCAAGGTGTGTCGATATAAAATATATGTACATCTCAAACCAGCCATTAGTCTAACCAAAATCGCAATTTCAATGTTTTGGAAATCTCTATTTCTAGCCAAGCCAAATTTGATTTCATTCTCGTCTGCATATTTTTAGTGTGAACAGACAAAGGAGTTTTCATGATCAGTTTAATTAAACAGTCATACTACTTTAGATTTTTAGGCCATATAGTGCAATATTCAATATATAATGCATCAGTTATTTCAAATATCTACAAATAAGATACAAAAGTCAAATAATAACTAATTATAAAAAAAAGTCAAGGCGGTCAGAAACATTCCTTCAAATGTTATTAATTTTCTTGAAAGACACCTTACCCTATTCACAGGACACAAGAAACAAGGAAACAGGAT